AGAGAGGAGTAGACGTATTAGAATAAAGCTAATGTGAAGAATATGTTTGTTTCTGGATATGAACTACAGATTCATAATCAGTGAAGTTTTAAGATACAGGTGTCTACAGGATAGTGTTGATCTGCAAAACAACTTTGGCAAAATGCATGCTGCTTCCAATAGGACAAACAGCAGTCCTGTATTAGCACTCAGTTCAGGAAGGAAATCACATGTACTGCTGCATGTGACCACTGACATGAAAGATATTCTCCTGGGTTTCTGAGTACAGACACCTGGGGCAGGAGTGGTTGTCAATCATCAGGGAGTAGGGATGATATGTAACAGTGACTCACACAGTTACACGAAAAGGAATTAGTGAAACATATCCTACTTGAATTGAGGGTCAAAGTCTCTTCCAAAATGTTGAGAAAACTCCCTATTTGCTCATCTTTGGGGCTGAGCGGAAATGTACTTTGCCCTGCATGTCAGCACAGAACCACCTAGCTGTTCTAATAAGGCAACACAGAACATCTGTTTGGCCTTCAACTCACTGGCCATGTCTTAGACATACTTTTATTATAATAAAATAATACTCGTGTCAAAGTGCTTAAATATGGTAATAAATAAATAATAAATATTTTTATTTAGACTGGGCCTTGACATATATAAGAGATCATCTTTTGAATTATGTGTTTTAAAAAATGTGTTGGCTGATGTCCAGCCATGGGAATGAGTAAGATATTTATCACAGAGCCAGTAAGGAAAAAAAAGGAAAAGGAAGAAAGATTATAAACATAAAATAATCAAGAAGTAAGTAAACAAATCTCAAATATTATTTCCTCAAAAAAGTTCGTTTCTGCTCTCTTGCTTTATGTCCTGATGCTGAGCACTGTGTTACTCGAGTTACTATGAGCTCATGTTCAGCTTCCTTCCCTGAGGACAGGGTGCAGATTATCAGTGCCCAAGGCACTGTCTACCAAAATTCAACAGTGATCTGCCTAGGGGGTACAGGTCGATGGACATGTTAGTCATATAGATAGTGAAACTTCAGGTCAAGTTCATTTCATGGAATGAATATTTAAAAAGCAATTATTAGCGGATGTGTGAAAATTTCAGTTAAAGAAGAAATCCTTGGGCATGGATCAATGCTATCTTATTAAAGCCACAGAGAATGCAGGGCTTGGGAGGGCAGGGGCTGTCAGAGGCCCGTGTTAAAGTTAAACTAGAACGTCTAAAGGACGTTCTCAAAAACAACGCTCCATGGTGACAGGATTGGAGATACATGTTTTTACTAAACTATGTTGAAATAATCATCAATATTAGTAGGAGATGTATGTTTCTATTAACGCAATCATAGTTTATTGTCCTGGGTGTAAAAACTGGCAATATTTAAACTCAAAGTGGGCTCAGAAGAGAATTGCTCACTCTTACTACTTTGGGGGGCTTGTCTTTTATATTTTGGTGAAATTTTTGTTTGAGACTTCTATCTTCCAACAAGAGAAACAAAACACATTGGCAAAAATCTACTGCCTTGCTTTGGTTCTAGGATGAAGAAATTGTTTTTGTTTGCTTATTTTTTTTGAAAGTTCGCTAAAATGTAAGATATCATAGTATCTACATACCATATACCAGCAATAAAAATGCACAGTTTGGCTTTTGAAAAATGTCAAAAACAAATAAATGTTGCAAAATATGATTTCTGCACGATTAACCGTCTCAAAACACTTTCAGTGAAAACAGAGTATTCAGACTCAGGAATGGAGCCGTGAATCACTGTGAATGAGTTTCCTGTTCCTACCTAGATCTATCCTGTCTTTCACGATACCCCCCTTTACTTGCTGTTGGACATTGCAATAAAAATATTGTACTTCTGCCCACCTCTCGAGCATTTATAACATAATTATAAAAGGCAAATAATCTTGGGAGGCCAAACACCCCATGTGAATGGCATCGAAGCAGAGGCAACAAGTAGTCAAGAGAGCCGAGGTGGCATTAGTTATTATTATTCCCCATTTCATAAGTTCTTCACGGTTTCCATCTAAGCTCTCTAGGGCTTATTGGTAATTCAGGTATACCACTGAAGGCCAACTCTGTAACCAGATACTGGTTTAGAAACAGCCTTATTTTAAAAATACTTATTACACTTGTATGTATTTACTTAGTTTGTGTTTGTTTGTGTGAGTGGGTGTGCATAGCCACAGGACAAGTTGTGTCTCTTCTCAGCCTCGACCACGTGGGCCTAGGGTGGACCTCGGGTTAGCAGGTGGGATGGCAGGCACCACATTTATATGGATCAATCTGACGGTCCTGGGCCTTTATTTTTAACTACGTTCTTATTTCATGCTTTTCTCCAAGTCCTGCAGGGGAAAAGCAGTATAAAAAGCTCAGAGACCTAAAGGAAGATATATTCTGGGCACGCCATTTGCACACCTAGGTGCTCACATATGCCTACTTCCTGTCATGACTGCGCATGAGCGAAGGCCAGGATCTGAGGACCGAGCCTGCTATTTGCTCCAGTTGGAACGGATGGCATCAAGGGTCATCCATGATAGGAGAAAATGGCAAAAGTTTTGTGTTTGTCTCTTACTAATAATTATTCTAAGGAAATGGACAGAATGCACGTATTATTAAGGTGAGACTTAGCAACTCTTGGCATCTGAACCAGAGCACTAGTCCAATAAAAAGTAAATAACCTCATCACCTTGGCAGAAGGGTGACCAGCAGTGACTCACTTCCTGATGGTTCCCATGGAAACACTTCAGAATACAATACAGGTTCTGTATTTTCTTTAATAGGATTCTTCTCCATTTCCTTAGACAACCGAGGACAGCTCAAATATTTTCATAATCTAGAGAACATCCAGGGAGCGTATGCCACTCGACTAGACATATGGAATATATATTTGGAGAAAAGCCAACTGGAGACGTGCTCAAGTCATCCAAACGCCCGAGCTGAGAGGAGCTAACACACAGAGGTCAGCAGGCGCTTTGAAGTTCTCTGGCCTTCATTCTACCTAATTAAGACAAGATTTAATAATCAAACCACTGTATAAATGTCTACCTCAGCGTAGAGGTTTGTTTCTAATTTGGGGGAGAATTCTTAACAGATTCCAGGGAGTCAGCCCCACATAGGAAGGGCTGCTGATAAGATTTGCTTTGCTTGTTGCTCGAATGCAAATGCCTGCTTTTCATCTTAGGTTGATTCTGAGATTGAGTTTAGCATCTGCCCGTCAAATCTCTAGCATGATCTCAAAGAGTAAAATGTGGCATTAGCATCCCATCTGAAACACCGAGTCAGAAAAAGTGAATTCTAAAATATTCTAAAGGTATTCATATAAAACATGTGATTCCAAAGGACCATACTTGCCTGATTTATCAACTGCAATATATATCTATATATATGTATATATATAATATCTCTATATATGTATATATATTCATGCACTTTATGGAAATGTGTACCAACAGAGGCTTAACAGTCCAATTGTGTAAGCTCACCTGCAAGTTTTATAAGCAAACCTAACTTTGAATCAAAGCATAGGATTCCTACTCTTTCAGCCCATATACACTTCTTGTAATGGACGTGTTTTTATAAGGAATATGGAGTTATTTTAAGTTGTTCTGGGGCACCACAAAACAAATCTCATTCTACCACTAAAGAGTAAGCCTGTGCAATCAAGCCATGAACAAAGCAGTGGGCAGAAAAGGAAGCTAATTCCTTCAGGAAGAAACTGATTTGACAGAAATAAAGTTAGCAAACTTAGAGAAACGCAATAGCAAGCAAATGATTCAGAAAGAGTCTAAAGCAGTGGTTCTCAACCTTCCTAGCGTTGTGGGCCTTTAATACAGTTCCTCATGTTGTGCTGAACTCCCAATCATAACCTTATTTCTCTGCTACTTCATAACTGTAATTTTGCTAGTGTTATGAATTATCATATAAAATCTGTGTTTTCCAGTGGTCTTAGATGACCCCTGAGAAAGGGTCGCTCAAGCCCCTAAGGGGTCACGACCCACAGGTTGAGAACCACTGGTCTACAAGATCTCCGGAAAGAAGGCTGGGAAGAGCTCAATTCTACCCCGATACCCCAGCCCACTCACAGTAGACTGTCTCCAAAAAGCAAGTGACTAGGCTGGACTGCTCAGAGCTCTTCGGTCCAAGCTCTTTTCATGATGCCCTTCTTGAGCAGAAGTGGGAGTGGGGAGGGAGTAGCGTGGGGTAGGGCTGGCACAAAGTGAAGCCCCCGCTCTTCCTGCCATGAGCAAGAGGTGAAGGACAGTTATGCTATCTGCACCCACCGGGGCTCACCTTGTTCTTGCATCTGCGACAAAGCCTTTACTAGGCTGAGCTGTGCACTTGTTTCCCAGTACACAACAGTGCCGTTAGGACACGCACGCATGTGACGGAGCACCACGAGAGAGAAGGATCCGTGCCTACAAAGCCACAGACCCTGCTGTCCTGTGCTCTCAGATACGATTACACTGCCATCACTGTTACTTCATGGTTGGTTTAGTGATACAGGCCATCATTATTTCAGTCCAAATCATGGGACTGGGAAGAAATTACCAGAAGTTTCAGCGATACTGTTTTAAATGGTTTTTGGAATGAAGTAGGCCTACTGAAAAATTAACACAACCCGGACGGAAACATGTTGCCAAGAAACACCACGTTGTCTTGCACTGCCCTATCTGCCAGCACCTGAGGTACCTTTCCAGCTTGTCCAACCTCACGTTTACCCTGTGTCACAGGGAGGCATCATCCACACAGGAATTACGACCCTGTGAATGAAAACAAACACCCTCCTGATCATAAATCCAATTGTTAACCCATGATCTCAGTCTTACTTCAACAGTCCTGTGGACAGAAAATGGTGAAGCCAGTGGTATTGGGGTCCTGTCCAACAACCCCGATGTCTGCGCGAGCATGGTGACTTTTGCCTTGTGTGCGATTCCCAACATCCCCCTCTCATTCCCAAATGACTGGAAACCAGTACTCTTAGTATTTAACGTCGGTTCATGGCTTACTTTGTTCATGTGGATCTGCTGCTGGTACTGCTTCTGCTTTTCCAGGAACTGCTGGTGTTGCTGCTGAATGACCAGCTGAGCCAGCGTGCTCTGAGGCAAAGGCGCAGACTGGGTTCGATTCAGGGGTCGGTGACGGGGCAGTTTGTGGGTACCTCTAATACCTGGTGAAATTCTTTCTTTCGTTGCCAAGGGAGACTGAGGGTGTAAGGGAACTCCACCTGAAAAACAAAATGCATGCGCGTGTGTGTGTGTGTGAGAGAGAGAGGTGAGTGTGTTTACACATTGATATGTAAACAAAGATGCACCTTTAAGAGAAGACAAGAAGCATCTGCCAGACAACTGAAGACTGACAGGTTGGGTGCTAGAAGACTTGAGTACCAAGACGTGACCAAACTTATGTCTGTGCAGCAGAAGCCTCAGCCAGCAGTGCAGCTTGTTCTATCCCAGGGTTCCCTCCCAGCTCCAGCTCCAGACCAGGAACACATAACGCTCATAGCTCCTCCCCCAGTGCCAAGTGTCTGGACTTGTACAGCAACAGAAATCATTATTACAGTTTTGAGTTAAGGAAATGTTACATTAGATCATGGGTAACAGTACTAAAAGGACTTGAAAAATGACGCCATTGTTAATTACCAGTCACAAGGAGCTTCTGCTGCCGCATTTGTTCCTTCAGCAGTAGGTGCTGCAGGAGGGCTTGGTGGCTGCTGTTGGGCTTGCCCTCCATGGCTACGTGAGCATGGCTGGAGGGCGCTGCAAGGCCGCCGCTGTACTGGCCAGGCAAAGGGACGCCTTGCCTGAGGATCTGTGTCTCCGACTTCTGCTTTTCTTTGAGTGAATTAGAAGCCTGTGCCCAGAGAGAAGCAACGTGTTAATCCTCCTCATCCCGGTGACACACCAGGCCTCGAGCTATTAGGTAACATGAAGAGCAAAATGCATAATCCTGTATCTTTTACACGACTTTTAGCAGTGAAAAAGAATTAACAATATATACAATTGCGGCATTGGAAACAATTTAGCGATTGGGTATCACTGTACTGAGCCTAAGGAAAATTTGTGTTATCTATTAAAAATGAGAGTAAACAAAACTCTCAGCTACACAGGGAAAACAAGTTTAAATGTTTTATCGTGAAAACAAGTTTAAATGTTTTGTCGTTTATCCTGGTGATAATAGTTACATAAATAACAAAATATACTTCAAAATTTCTTACTGAGTAGCTAAGTGTTCTCCCCCAAAAAAAGTATGGAATAAAATTCATATGTTAATTAGCATAACTCATTACATTATGTAGATCAAAAGACAATGTTGTAAACCACAAATACATGTACCTTTTGTACATTAGCTTAATAAAAAGTCAACATGAATTTTAGGCTTTGTAAGAAGGAAGCTGAGTTTTTATAATACTTTAAAATGCATTGCTTGTGAAAAAGGTATGCTGGAAAGTTAACATTTATTCAAATGAAGGCTATCATGTGGACAAAGATAAGGCAGGCTATAATTCTAGAATTTCAAGACAAACACAAAACATACATTCTTACAACATTTCCTCTAATTTTTCACAAAGCTATAAGTTTCAAATATTTTTTAAAAGTGAAATTGTCTCACTCTGTGAAAGCTGGTACAAATAGACAAGACTTTGATTTAAATATATATTTTCTATTAATTCATAACAGATCCCTACATCTCCGAATATTAAAAATGACAACCCAGATACTTTTGTATAATAAAGTAAACTACAAGTGAAATCAGATATCAAATAAAAGTGTTATTAAGAACTTGAAAGGCATGGTAACGCAGTAATGAAGTCATTATAATTACATCATCAAGAGCAATAATGAATTATCCTATTCAAAAAATTTAATGAATGGTGGTCATTTTGGTGTTACAAAAGCAGAAGGCTAATACCTCAAAATTATGTGGCATGTTTCTTTCCAAAACTTATGTTTCATCTTTCAGAATTACTGTGCACTAGGGAGGCAAAACAATTTTCAGTGATGGAGAAATTGAAGGACGAAGAGGTAAATGGTTTGTCTGAGTCACAGAGTGGGTCAATCTGATGGTTAATATACAAGGGATGCCTGGCCCAGCCTCCTTCCTTAAAATCTTCCTCTGTGCAGTGGGGGAGGGAGAATTAGAGATCCTTCTGCTGGGGAAAGGCTATGATTGATACGACTGAGAAATTAATTGTGAAGACCTCATCCACACCAAAATAGAAGCAAAGAAAAACAAAACTGATCCAAACCACACTGGCTTATTCATCCAATGGCACCAAATGGCACAGCCATTGAAACACAAGACGGTTTCGTACGAGTCCTCTGGGGAAGAATTTCTTGGACCACATTAAAAGTTGTGCATGTGTGAGCTAGCAGGAGGCAGTGGCTGAGAACATAGAAAATGGAGGCATCCAAGTGCCTGTTGGCATCTCATGGAAGTGTGGGGCTTGGCATCTCAGGGGAGTGTGGGGCTTGGCATCTCAGGGAAGTGTGGGGCTTGGTAGCTCAGGGAAGTGTGGGGCTTGGTAGCTCAGGGAAGTGTGGGGCTTGGTAGCTCAGGGAAGTGTGGGGCTTGGCATCTCAGGGAAGTGTGGGGCTTGGTAGCTATAGGACATTAAACAAACGGAAGAGAAATAAAAATAATTTTAATAAGTGATGATTTAAAGATTTCCATGTCTTATTTTAAGTTTAATTTCCATTTCCACTTTACCTCCCATTAGAACCAGCTGTTTACAAGTCTTTGGAACTTCAAGAATGTACCTAATCCAGGATTTTTCCCGCTTCTCTTTGTGATCCTTGGATTATAGCGGTCACATTCTCAATCTGCCTACTCACAAATGGTGTCTAGTCGTAGAAGATATTGTGTTCTATTAATACTCCACATGGAATACACTTCTAGTTCTGATAAAATGCTTATCTCAGAGACGTATGTGACCCTGACATGCTGCACTAAGAGAAGACACGGCTCCGTGAGTGCCCACCTGGTGACAAGGGTGGGACGGATTTCCCCTTCAATGTCTGACATCTGACGTCTATGCATGCACAGTTTAATTTCCTAACGTCTGTGGTGAACTATCCCATGGGAGGCTGACAAATATTTGCTAACAAGTAAAATGCTCATTATTTTAGAGAGTATGTATAAAATTACTATTTTACTCGGAGAATTACTCTGCCTGAAGATCCTATTTCAGTAGTCAAGATTTTTAACCTAAATAATTCTCTTGAGTCTCCTGAGAATGGCAAATGTCGTTCTTGGGGCTCATTTTCCAGATACATAACCTTCACTGTGGAACCAGTGCCTTCCCCAAACAAAGCCTCTCAGGGATGGATTCTACAAACAGGTGCTATTGGGATTCATGGCCTGAACTCTGGCCTAGAGGAGGCTCGGTCTGCCTCTTGCTCCCTGAGTCTGTGATCTTGAGCTTTTAAACTCCCCAGCCTTGACTTCCTGGTCTGTAAATGTGAACTGCAGTCTCCCCTTCACAGGAAGGATGCTGGAGACACATGTGAAGACAATTACATATTGTTACATTAGAAATCGTTACCCAATCAAGTAATTTGTAAATGATCACGTGAACCAGTTCTGTGATTTGAAACTAAACTGAGAGCCTTTAAACAAAGCAGCAAATAACAAACCATGTATGGGATGCTGTTTCTAACAAGGTTCTCAAGCCCACATACACAAGAAATAGCAAGTTCGTGTAAAAAGCGTCACTGGGCTGGCTTGGGCTGGGGGCACCGTCACTCACATTGAGTGGGGACGACACAGCCGGCAGTCCCAGAGTGATATTGGGCAGGGAGGGCGAGGTGTAGAGGCTGAGCAGGTTCATGGAATCTTCGTGAATCAGGATGCGTTGCTGCGGAACCAGCTGCTGTTGAAAAAAAATATGCAGTTTCTAGGTTACCATAGCGAAGAAAGACTCCAGTACTTACTGCTTGCTTCTATATAATACCCGGGCATTTTAGTATAAAATTTAAATGAATTTTTTTATCAGAAAGTTATAATATGGTGAAAGTCATAAGATATGGTGAATTAATTTCTATTTTCATTGTGAAGAATTCTTTTGGAAATCTGGCTTTGCGGACTATAATTAACATGTCTGTCACGAATCAGGGAAATACCAGAATCAAAGTTGGTGACTGGTGCACATTCACAACCCTTCCTTCCCGTACAACAACAGCCACAGCTTTGACCACAGTCGCATGCTGCTGCTCTGAGAGGAGAGCCACAGGAGAGCAAGCGGCACCAGAGGGCTTCTCCATTAATCACATTTTAGTATAAAATTATCAATAAGCTATGGGTGGTGTAATTTCACATCATATACTTTCCAAACTAAATGTAAAATGTTACGGGATCTCTACTTGACAGTAATATGCACTTATAATGAAATACCCTCAACCTTTTGGCGTCTCAGTACTTTTTACAACAAATACCGTTTTAACCCAACACTAAGAGATGTGTGTTCCCACATGTGGCTCACAATGGCTGCTTAGCTTACGTTCTCTGTTTAACTCTTGCTCCCCTCCCAGGACTTTTATACAATAAGAGTTCCAAAGGTCTTATTAGACCAGGGAACTCTGGCCTGATATGGTTCCCAAGGGTACAACATCCTGAAAAAGAATACCCCATGTAACAGTGTGGCACAGTGACTGCTTTCTTCCCAAACAAAAAGCATATGGGACTCCAATAATAGACCACCTCCAAGAGGGATATTGCACGCACGGGCTTTGACTAAAGTAAATATAATAACTTGTCAAGCATGTTTGGAGGAGCTGTAGATTTTCCCCGGGACAAACCTGGGATATCAATTAACAAGGGGAAATATCACGTGCCAATACAACACAGCCTCAGAATGTCACCGAAGAGTGATGCACCCAGAAAACACAGGATGTTATTCCAGAACGTTATCTCAATCATGAGACTCAGCCTTAACATAACACAAGCAGAAGCATAGCATGGGGTTTTCCCATTGCAGCCTGGAGCTCTAACCCAGGCTGTGTTTATTCTTAAAAGAACATGTCAGTTATTCATGCATAAGAATTGTGTTATGTCAAGCTATTAATGCTCCATTGAGTTTATACGCTGAAATTAAAGATGCCCAAGCCTACAAAGCAAGAAAATTATTGGGAAAGATTTTTAAATTATAATGTACGAGATTATAATTTTATTTTAGGAGTTTTTGGTAACAGTTGTGTGTTTGCTCAAAGTAAAATAGCAAGCAACTATTTTGTTAATAAAATGGGCTTTGAAATCAGTTTTAATATATAATATATGCATCGAATACAAAAGATGCAAAGAAGTAAAAATGTTTTATTAGCTCACTGGCAGCTAATACTCTTTCAAAATGAAGGAACAGCCCACTCATCTATATTCATAAAAGAGAAAAAAATGTGGAGACAGCCACTTCAATTACAAAGTGCCATTCAAAGTTGACTGCTTCCCACGGTAGCCCCATGACGGAATCTCTGGCGGGAGAGTCCACAGGCCACAGAGAGGAAGTCATCTCCACACGTGGGCTGACATCTGTAAACCCTCCCGCTCCATAACATGAAGACAACACAGTTGTGTGGAAGCCGGTTTCTTTCCAGATGTGGTGATGGGAACAGCTGGCAGGCCCGGCTGAGGTGCTGGGATTGCAGACCCCAGAATTTATATAAAAACTGTGTGATGTCATCTCTCACGTGGTACACTCATCTTCTTCACTAATCCTCCCAGACGACCTGGGAGTTCAGGCAAGGAGACTGAGCATGTGCGCGGAAAAGAGTCACCTCAATGCAGGACCAGCAGCAACATTCCCAGTCTATCCAACTCTGCGACTGCCCTCCTCCCCAACAAAGGCAAGAGAAACAAGGGGGATTGATATCACATTTGAGAAAAGCCCGAAGGCTTACAAAGAGAAGGAAAGGAGAGAGTGTGAGGCCTCCTAAGAAGACAGCCCTGACCATCTTACAAATAGAAGAACTGCTGACCATGGCAGACGTTGCCTAAGGTTCTGCAGAACTCAAGGACTGTTCTCTGCGCCCATGTCTGTGGGTACAGTTGTCCTTCTCACAGACATTGCTGTCTCTCTCAACTGTAATGAGGCACTAGGCACTGAGTTTAAGAAGGTTTCCAGTGTTGCAGATCTAGATCCTTTTAGAACTGGACAACTGTTGCCTACAAATTTGCCTTTTTGTTCACAGCTTTCCCCAGCTAGTGTTTTGATAGGAACAGTCTATCTGTTCTGGGCCTTAATAAAATCTGGGTGCAGACAGATGGTGCAGAGCCATTTACCTAGACAATGAGGGATCCTGACCTGTGCTCTCACAGGCTGTGGTGCTCCCCACCTCAGCACTGACCTACTGTGTGCTCTCACAGGCTGTGGTGCTCCCCACCTCAGCACTGACCTACTGTGTGCTCTCACAGGCTGTGGTGCTCCCACCTCAGCACTGACCTACTGTGTGCTCTCACAGGGGGGCGCATACTCCCCACCTCAGCATTGTGATAAGCGTGCACAGATCCAAAGTAAGACACAGAACATTTCTAGAAGATGGTTTCAGAACGCGCATCCTTGGTGCTATATTGCTGAGATGTCAATGCGTCACAACTCAGCACTGGAAAGGTGGCTTTAACATAAAACCTTTCCACAACTGCAAACCCACACTGTAGATGAACGAACTAGAAGCATTAAACGTAAGGCTATCATATAATCTTTCTGAAGCCTTTGACGATCAGTTCATCAGGGTTGAGTATGGGTGTTAGGTGTGGGCAGGCCAAGAAGTCCTCAGTCTATTATCACCACCACTACTACGGTAAAGTCAGAACATGTGAATGGCTCAAAGGATGAAGTTGATGCAATCCCGGGCTTTCATGGGTAACTGGCAATTCGCCAGGATCCGTGAAGCTGAAGTGGGGGGAACCACCTTTTAGTAATATGCTTCAAGATTGTATTTAACTTCTTTCCCCACTACAATGTCAATTGGGAGAAGGTCTTATAGATACATAAAGTACACATAGACTGAAAAATATGCAGAGGAGACTCAGCTATTGACACTAAGATAACATTGATATAAAGAAATGGAATCAAGTATGTTGGTGCTCTAAACAAAGGGAACTTAGCGACAGGCACAGCATTTCTGCCAACAATTCAGAAATATAAACCATCACTACAACACACACCATGAACCGAGGGACTCCTCTCCTGGACAAGGGAGCTTACAGAACATCTCCCATGAAGGTTGTCAGGATGGCTGAGACAACACTCCTTAGCCTGTCTCACCAAGGAGTAGGACGGGGTAGAGAAATCTGAGCAGCAGGCACCGCAGGCTTTTACAGTGACCAAAAGCATTCAGCAGCTACTACTGGATCTAAACCAAGTGGTCAGCGATAAAGCAAGACGTGAGATGAGGTCACGACGCTGTGCCACCTATGTCCTCTAAAGTCCACAAAACACAAACCGTAAGGACACGCTTTGTAAGAGAAAACACAGGGCAAACCCCAGAAACGCCACTGCTCTGCGGGCAAGAAACATAGAAAGGGAGGAAGAAGAGGAAAGGAAGGAGGGAGTGAGGGAAGATGACCGGGGTGGGGGCTGTGTGTGTGAAAAACACAAAATGCCTTTATTACTTGTACGTGTGACTTGAAAACAGATACATAATACCTGCCTACTTTTGATAAACCCACAGAACACATGAACATATAATGCTCACTTGACTGAATATTCAAAATTATAATAGGCCAGAGAACCAGAAAAAGAAATACAGAGCTGGATGAGTAAAACAAAATGTTTATTGTGAATATTTCACATCTGAGCTCTGCCATGTGTGGGCTGTGGATGCAGCCACCTACCTTCCCTAGGAAACATCTTTCAGCCCAAGACAGAGACGGTCTGACTATCTTGTCAGGTAGCATCCATGTCTATCAGGATGGGCTACAGGAAGACATACTTGTGTCAACTGACTTTGAATTAAAGTGGTAGACTGTTTAAAAACAAGACAGCCACATTTTTAAAAAGCCCTTAATGACAATGTTTGCGAATGGCTTTATCCGTATTTTTCAAGATTGTATCTCTTTTCTATGCTTTGTTCAGAAAAATGATATGAGAAGTTCTGCATGGTAAAGAAAGAGTTATTTCCAGGAAGTAAAGCTCTCGAAGTTTGAAGTTTTCATTTTACATCGAAGATCATATTACCATAAAATGTGAGATAAAACTTTGAGGATAATAATAGCAATAATTTTTATTACATTTTTCATATACTCTATTCTTCGCCTTCCCCAAGTTTTCCGTGTCTGCTTCCATGTCCCTACATACCTAAGGTCATGCTCTTTCTCTCTTGCTCTCTTTCTTCTCTCAATAAAGTAACAAAAAGTAAAAGCAAATGAAAATCAAAACAAATAAATCAAGACAAGAGACGCCAAAACAAAATCAACAAAGAGCCCACGAAGAAAACATGGAGTCTATGTTGTGTTGGCCAACTATGCCTGGGCACGAGGCCTGCCTTGGGACGAAGTTGATATATGCGGGGGTACTTCACTGGAGAAAACTGGAGGTTGGAATTTAAATTTTATTTATGAGTATGTGTGTGCATGTATGCACATATCAGTATGGGTACCAGAGGGGACCAGAAAAAGGTGTCAGATTTCCCAGAGCTGGGGTTACAAGCGGTTTTGTGTCCCCCAACATGGATGCTGGGAATGGAACTTGGGTCCTCCAGAGAAACAGCAGGAGCGGCTGAACCGCTAAGAGGCCTGGGAGTTTGCTTTCTAACTCTGCATTTCTATTTTTATGAAAGATCTTGCTTTGTAATATTGGCTCATGTTATTATTGTGTCATAACAACTTCTTTTCCAAGTGGGGGCCGAGTTCTAATTGCTGCCATATGAACCATCGTTCTGAGGTACCCACTTAAGTAAGGCAGCGAACGCCATGACATCTATTACAAAACAACAGGCAGATGAATCACGGGAGGCTGGAGCGACACAAACAGCATCTCCGGGGATCTTAGAACATTTAGCCTTAGTATAAGAATTATTTTTTTTTAAAAAAAAATAATCATTTGCTTTTGCTGGAAATTTTTTTTTAAATAAAATAACATCAGACACGGCCACTAATGTCAAACTAGAAATAAGGCAGCAGCTTGGCTTCGGCTAAGATAGCTATCAAATAAATCTACGGGATCTAACGTCATGGTGCTGATACCCATGGAAGCATATTTGAACCCACAGGCCCACAGTATTAACAATCCAGGCAGCTAGATGGCTAGAGACATCTCTGACGGGAGCTGGAAACAGAAACGCTTGAGGTTTGAGTGCCCAACCAAGTCTGCAGGGGCGTAAAGTGAGTAGCTCCAACAGTCCGCATTCCGGGACTGAGAATGTGAGGAAAGAAAAGGAACAGCAGCGGTCAGAGCCGACGGAAGATGGAGACGTGCTCTCATATGAGAGCCGCTGGCCCGAGGACACACAACTTAGTGAGTTTTCCCTATGAGGAGTCCGTGCTGCTGATAGCAAAAAACGAACTTGTTCCAGATTTCACAAGGTGCGACCTCTTTTCCACAAAGGGGCGGGAACCAGTTTTGCCACGGATTCACCCACCGGGAAGCTGAGGGTTAACACAAGTTTGGCAACTTGGCCAACAGCTGTTTTTTTAGCAGTGCCCAGGCCCAGCCTCCAAACAGAATCCGGACACGTCACCCACTATGCTCAAGGGCATCCTGCCTTGCGATCCCAAGTCCATTCTCCCTCCAGTCCTGCCTCTGCCTCACCTCAGTCAGGTGGGATTCGCACCTTATACGATAGAAAACATAACAGATTCAAGAACTTTGGGGGTCCCTTTTCCAATGTCCTAAGCCGCAGATGCAAACAGAATCCCGCTCATTCATGTGTGGTCTGAAGGAACTAGGTACATTGTTTTCTCGTTAAAGGCCATGGAACAGGGAGCCATGCACACCCAGGCTGCTTTTTTGTCTTCTAACTTGGTGACTGGGGTTGGGCTAGGGCCTTCTGTGTGCCAGGCAAGGACAGCATCACTAAGAGACACACGCAACTCTGTTTTTTTTTTCCTTCCCTTTTCCCATCCAGATGGGTTTTCACAGTGTGACTTTGTACTCCAGGCAGACTGTGGACTTGAAATATTCCTTTTACCCCCCTGTGTTATTCGATCAAAGCCGAATATTCTATAAATGATGCATCACACAACCGAGGGGCTCGGGATCTCATTGTGGGAAGAATTTTGCCCTCCAGCTTCCCGTTGCTATGAAATCACATTCTATTATCAATCTTAGAGGGTAGCTGTGAAAAATCACGCAGGGAATTTGAAGACCACACTTTCCTGTGTCTGGTTTCTCTAGGTGGTAGCGGGCCACAGCCAGAATGTTGATTCGCTGAGAGTCAGCCTAAGTTCTGCTGCCTCCTCACCCACCCAGAATGAATTACACTACAGAACTCCGTGAACGTGATGCAGCAGAAAAACACATGTTAGCCATCAGGGTTGCATTTTTGTTTCTGGGCCACAGAAAGGCTGCCCATCAGTGCATGAAGGTCTGCCCACCTGGCCTTTGGGAGCACAGTTCAGGCACACAATTAATTCATTATGAGGTAAGTCTCTGCTTGCTTTTGAACTAGCCTTGCCAGCGCTGGGAGTGAGTGTCCTGCCTCTGACCTGGAGAAATCCCTCTACCCTTTAAACTCCACTAAATCACATTTCCTTCTGTTTTGTTGTGTTTTTCTTTTTTGGCCTGGTGTGGGTGGGAGGAAAGATTTGCAGTGGTGGAATACATTCAACAGTTAGCTGGAAAGTTGGGGTATCCAAACCTAGTCTGTGAGAGTAAAAGACTGAGAATACAAAACTGATTGAAATAAATAAAATACCTTGATTGATAATCTTCATTCTCTCTGTCTCTGTGCACACACACACACACATATAGATACATGGATGAAATCAGGGTTAAGCAATCTAGACAGTTTAGTAGGTCCCAGTTAGCCAGAAGAGAAAATCCTTCCATTTTGCCATTTGGTTCCAGTAACGTTTCTTCCTGGTTTTCTTTCCACTTTATCAGAGAAGTGGATGGATGTGTTTATAATGAAAAGCTAAGAATGTCTTCCCCAGCCTTTCTCAAACCACACTTTGTTTGTCCCCGCTCTGAATGTAATCAGATCCCACAGGCTTGTCCTCACGCCTCTGCACCCCTCCACTAAACAGGCTCAGACAGATACTGTAATTCTTTCTGCATCTAATAATGTGTGAGCATGCGCTAAAGAGCCAAAGCCACGGCATTGACATTGCCGCTCTGCGCATTACCTGCACGGATGAATGTCCAGCCACAGGCTGTCCTTTCTCAAGAGTGCAGACAGCCCCAGGAGCGATCGTAACCTAACCCCAACATGTTTGTGTGGTTCCGGAGAAGAGCATCGTTCAAATGAAAGTGGAAATAGAACACTTATTTACTCACTATTTGGATGAAATTGTTCTATTCTTGTAAATAATTAAGGGGTCACAGAAAAGTCCCTTGATATGAGGATGCAGTCTCGACACCTGAAAGTCCTGCTTACATGTGGGACCACAGGTATTCACAGAATATTCTAGCTCACATCATTGTTGGAAAGCATAATGCAAAATATGTAGAGAGTAACTAGATAGCGAGAAGCAGGAATCTGATGGACGCCTTAGAGATTAGCATGAAGGTCTGGATGGAGGTTGCTTAGCCTTCGGAGGCCTTTATCTTTTCCACTCGTGCTCTCTGGCAAATAGTAGAGTGTTAGGAGAAGCTGTCCTGATCTGAGGAGGAGTCACATCTGCTCGGTCAGGCACCTGGGGGCTCTGAAAGTAATCAAGGGATGGAGGGCCAGGCTGTGACTTCTGCGGTGGCACCACACAGACTCACTCACGGCGACACTCCTCAGGCAGGGAATCTGCCGCTGTCAGGGTGAGGTGAGCTTAGACGCTTGGGATCCCAGCACGGTGCTGTGAGTGTCTCTTACTTAGCGCGTTCTCCACGCCTAGCGCTCGGCCTGTTCTTCTCTCCTGAGCGTTTTGCATTTATGAGAAACCAAAGGTCAATGTGAAGACCTTGAATCTTTTAAAGCAAAAGCGACTCAGGGGGTTTTCAGAGACAACCTCCATTTCCACCTAATGATTTCATAGAGACTAGTCGTCTACGTGTGTGACAGTGTGTGTGTGTGTGTGTGTGTGTGTGTGTGTGTGTGTGCGTGCGACATGTATGAACTCTTGACTGCCCGTGAGGACAGTACAGCGATTCCCTTGCAGGCAGAAGCGTTTTGGTACAGTGTGGATAATCCAATGGCAGGAACACTCCGGATACATCCCAATGAATGACAGATTTGATGACTGTCCCTTAGACTATAAACTACAAGAGGAGAGGCAAGTAACAGTTTCACACAAGAGCAAACCACAGCAACTCCTGTACAGAGTTTGGATAGGAAGAAGGCAGCATGACACAGAAGAAAAGAAAAATTAGGGCTTCAGTCTCTGACCAGCCTGTTCAGAGTAGTTCCATTAACACAGCTATTCAGACTGCTAACCTCAGCACCGTCTAATGAAGCAAGTACTGTAACTCCTCCTGACAGCCACTTTCTTCTTAGTGCTGCGCGTGTGTCACTGACTATAACAAATGATAATATTTTAAAAACAATCTTCCATACTAAGTCACTTTCGGTAATGGAGTTCCCATTTTTACCCGTGAATAAAGGGGTATATGCAAAATACAATCACGTAGTAAATACTAAAAAGTGCTTGCTCGGTACAGCTCTAGCTCCCTCAATCATAATACAGACATCAATCGTTTTCTGTTATACTCCAGGTCAAATGAATAAAACCTACTCTGTTAGCAGTTGGTGTAGTCAGTCCTACTAGAAAAACAAACACCCAGGCAGGATGACAAATCCGTGTATCACTGGGCGATACAGAAGAAGCTTAGCTGGGAAAGTAGGAATGTTGGCTTGCATGGCAGTGTTTCTCCAACATGGATGTTATCAAAACAACTCTAAATATAATCAAGTTTATTCAAATCCACATATAAACTATCACCGATATGGGGCATCGTAAGAAAGACAGCTAATCTTTCTTCATAGTGGGGAATACGTGGGCTCTGTTTATAAATCTGCAATGTTTGAAAGTGAGGGGGCCTGGACAACTAACACTCTTTACCACAGAACCAGTTTCCAGAAGTAGAAAGAGAGGGGCCTTACCTCAGGGAGAGGCGTAGGAGGCATAACTGAAGCCTCATTTTCGGGGGCATTTCCGGCGGGCCCATTGTTTGGTGAACTGGGACCAGACCCTGGAGAGCTGCTACTGACCGAGGACTCTGAAAAACACATGGGGAAACACACATGCATTCGTGAACAACACATAAAGATCAGCTCCGCTGCCCATAAGACGTAGTGCCAGACAGGGTGTGTGAATGACAGGCATTGCACAAAAGAAGCGAGGACGTTTGCACTGTTTCTAAAGTCTCCCATCTCCCCACTTTGTTTTGAACTGTCAGAAGTGCTATATGGTATTGACAGTTGCTATCAAAGGTACAGAGCTATTAAAGGTCACAGAAGCCAACACGGAAAAGGGGAAACAAGAAAGGCACAGTCTTTCCCTTGCTTTCATGCTATCATAACAGCATACAGTGATAGAGATAATACATCTGCACATGGCGTAAAAGCAAGCTGCCAACACGTCGGAGAAATCCAGGGCAAGTGGTCCTGATGCTGAACTATATACTGATCTTTACTTGATACACTAAGAGTATATCTTATGTTGATATACTTATGTTGATATATATGAGTGCATGTCAGTCCAATTGTTTGAGGAAAAAAAATAGAAACTAAAAGTTTGTACATTTCATTGATGACTTTATAAAATGTCAGGTGACTTTAAATTTACCCCCATTGAATTTCTGGAAGATGAAATGTTGCAAATTTAGCAGTGTACATATTTAAATACCAATGAATAAGAAATTTCTTTTGGCAAAAAATTGAAAACAATATAGACTACTTGGTAATCTTCAGATAAAGAATTCATATGGACCCCAACGTGTAAAGAAACTAATGTGTTTTAAAAACATCTAATTAAAAAATGAAAATTCCAATTCCTAAAAGTCGAGCTGCCCAAATTATTGTATTGAACATGGACAATTATCCTTGCCACCCTCTGCAGTCACTTTTGTTGTTTTCCAAGCGCCTCATCCACGCTGTGCTAACCCCGCTCTGCTCAGTGGCGTGGCCTCTCACTCCTCAGGGACTGAGAGATGGGGCCTCATTCCCACCCGTGCATTTTCCTGCCTGCCGTGACTGCACTCCATCGCTGGAACTCTGCTTAAACTCTTCAAACCCCTGGTTTTCATCCTTTCCCTCTCCCAGTGACAGCACATTTATTTTTACCCATAATCCTACGCTACCCTTTTACTGCTCCATACATGGTTCCATCGGTTCCTCAAAATCCCCATGCCCTTCTAGACTAATACGGTCCTACTTTTGGGACTGTCCCCTCATTCTCTCCTGCCAGGGTTTACTCAGACAACTGCACCCTTTCTTTCAAACACCACCAAATTTGACCACTTTAATGAAGCAGTCCCAGACGCGCACGCCTTCCTCTGTGCTCGGGATTCTTCCTGCCATCAGTCTCTGCACACAGACGTGTACTAAGTTTGCAACCGCACTGTCTCTGTGTCTGCTCTGATGCTGAATCCTATCTTCGGGCACACTGCTTTCACGGATGTAGTATTTCTTGTGTAATGTTCAAAAAAATCTAGTCTGACTTCCTTTGAAATGTTGGATTTTTCAACAATTTATTTTATTTTTACTTTGTGTGTGTGTGTGTGTGTGTGTGTGTGAAGTCCCTAGAGAGGCCAGAAGAACGAGTCACGCCCCCCAAAGCTGGCATTACAGGCAGTTGTAAGCTGCACCAAAGGGTGAGAAAAATCAGGATTCCTCTAGAAGAGCAGCAAGTTCTCTTATAACACTGTGCCATCTCCCCAGGCCAGAATTCTGGGTATGTCTAATCCTCAAATACAAGTGTAGAGATCACATCATATTTTAATACGCAGTGTTTCCTGCTGTGCTTGCATGTTACCCCATCCTCAGACTCATCCTTATTCGTTCTCCCGAGCCACCAGCCTTTCATCTCCCTCGTCATGGAATCTCATACATGTCTGATGACTGCCATTCCAGCCTAACTATTGATTACCTTCTCTTAAACTGTGGCATAAACTCTTACTGTTCTGAGGCACCAGAGTAAAGATTTTCTTTAAAATTTTTCTCACACTTGCCCTTTCTGCCCTCATCTCCGCACAAACACACACTTTCCCACATTGTGCTTTGCACACTCCATGTCTACTGCCGACCTCACTCACTGGCTTCACTAATCCTTCCTGGAAATTTAGTTATGTGTCATCTGCCCCCATTGATCAGGGGCCCACACGTTCCAAACAGTATTTTCTTGACCTCCGTCAAAATAACTTTCATCTGTCAACTCTCTGCCCTAAATGTTGCTTTACTCTAAAGCATGGTGCAATTAGAAGGATGGGGGATTGGTGAATGAATTCTGGTGCTGACATTGGTTTATTATGGCATTTGAGCAAATTATTGGTACCACAAAATGTTCTGTCCCATATGCTCAATGCCTTTGTGTCCATATATTATGATAACATTGTGATTAAGCTGGATGTTTCCAATACTGCCTTGTAAAATGTATCTTCTTTCTCTCTTTCTGTATATTTTTCTTTGAAACAGGGTCACACCATCCAATCTGGGAGGGCTCAAACTCTTGACCTCCTCTCTCTGTCACCCTAGTGCTTGCATTATAAATGTAATGTACCAATGCAACAGACAGGCATTAGTACGTGTAATGTAGCAATGCAACAGACAGGCATTACTACATGTAGTGTAGCAATGCAACAGACAGGCATTACTACATGTAGTGTAGCAATGCAGCAGACACGCGTTACTACGTGTCGTGTAGTAATACAACAGACACGCATTACTACGTGTAATGCAGTAATGCAACAGACATGTGTTCCTACGTGTCGTGTAGCAATGCAACAGACATGCGTTACTATGTGTAGTGTAGCAATACAACAGACACGCGTTACTACGTGTAGTGTAGTAATGCAACAGACACATTACTACGTGTAATGCAGTAATGCAACATACACGCGTTACTACGTGTAGTGTAGCAATGCAACAGACATGCGTTACTATAGACACATGTTTTTTTTTTTTATTTTTTAATGCACTTAAAAATTCTTAGAGACACTTCTTTTCCTGACTCTGACATTACCAGGATGGCTATGACTTCTCACCAATATTTCATTCCCACATTTTTAAAAACACTACATTCTTGAGCATTCTTCTGTCTTTACCATCTTAAATGATCTTACTTACTGTGCTATCAGAACAAAAGTGTTTTGTTGTCTAGAGACCCCTGTGGTTGCAGCGTGTCAACCACAGTACCAGGGCGCCACCCCACAAACTGATGGGGACTGAGAACAAGCAGCGAATGCTTTCATGGACCAACTGGGGAAACTGGGAGAAGGAATGACCTTGGACCTGCACTTGGGGAATAATAACTATCTGGTGAACATGGGGCACCAGAGGAGAGGAAAGACCACAGCAGGCACTGAACTGAGCCAGGGCACAGCATTTTCAAAGAAGACAACTTCCTGGGGGAAGAGCGGCAGAAAAAAAAAAAAAAAAACTTGAATTTGAAAATGCGTGAAGTGGCAATTTGCTCTTACATATTACTTATGAAGAGGAGAAAAAGAAAAAAGGAGCAGAGGCTTCAAAGAAAAAAAAAGGTAGAGAAGAGAGTAACAGAAATGCCAGTGTAAGAGCTACAGCACTGTGGCACCTCCAGCTGGGCACTCAGAACATTTACTATCGCCATGTCCAAATTAGACGGAAGTCCACTGCTAAACGGGAAGGGCACCAGGGCAGACACCCGTGTGCTGAAGGTCAGGTCTTCCGCATACAGTTTGATTCAGTGCAAAATACTCATTTAGAATAAGAAGTAACAAACAAAAAGTTCATAGAGGCTCTGCTGGGACTAGCTCACAGGCTGGAAGTTTATGAAAGCAGCAACCACACAAGGCAGGGACACTTCACCTCTTTCATGGGATGAAAACGAATGCTTCCTAATTTTTATCCCATAAAATTAAGGGAAAAAATCTATAATTTAAAACTTAGAATTTAATTACTATAAATTTGTGATTATATAAATATTAAAAATAAGTTACTGTTCATTTCTTCCAAATTTCTCATCTCCTCTAAGGAAAAAGTTTTAAAAATATAACCACTAAGACTGTTTTTACATAACAGTACCTATCTACTGTGAATAGAGAGAAGACCGAGGTGTGTTTTACAAACTGAAATAAAATATGTCACAGTTTTTAAAAACACATGAAGGGTGAGGTCAGATCTGAGAATGCCAACACCATCTGCCTGCACTGCTATAGACACAGGCTTCTCAGGAAGGAGGACAAAGTTCCACCCAGACCTCTTTCCCTCTCTTTCCATGCACTTTGCCCAGGCACACAGCACTGCTCTGAGCCCCCAGGAAACATCAGTTGGTCTTATCCTGTGTAGCCCTTCAGGTTCCCGTGTCTTAGGAAGCAGCAGCCAGCATCACTGTGGTTGGCCTTTTGGGTTCTTGTAGTCTTAGGGACTTCTCTAATTTCAAAACAGGTACAACAAGGCGAGGGGGTTTGTAAGACATCAGGTTGAATTTCCTAACGTGTTCACCCCACTTCTAACCAGGCAGTTAAAAAAAATATGAACTCTTGCATTTGAGACCAGTGAAAATGACAGTCTTTTCCCCTCCATAAAAGGCGGCATTTCCCCCTCCTGCCATGAGTCCCAAGTCACCAGTAAACACATAAAGTCATTTATGAGTTCTGTAAATTTGTTGAAAAGTCAAGGTTTTGCTGTTCCACACAGTTTAATTTTCCCAGATGTATTTCCTACCTTCATGTCTGAGTGGGGAGGGACAAGCTCCTCTTGAACCTCCCTCTGCACATTTCTGGTCGGATTTCATTAAAAGCTGTTGTCTACTGGTGGGCGTCTCCCCAGTGGATTTCCCCTTTCTAAAAAGCACAGGGCAAGCGCTGGTGTGCATAGCTGTGCTTTGGCTGACAGGGAGGTGGTTTCTCCCCCTTTAATTTCCTGCACTATGCCACTGGTGAATGCATAGCAAGGTTGACTGAACTGCTGGTGAGCTTTCAAAGAAACTGCCTTTCAAGACAAACTTTTCACAATAAGTTTTATTAATGAACAGGCATATTTATCCTAAACTTAGAAAAGTGCTATGCCCCGCAAGTGTTAGTGTGACTGCCCGGCTCTCAATTACCTGTCACCTCAAACACTCTCTTCTTGAATGAAGTGACAACATTTCCATCCTTCCGCCTGAGTAAGGGGCTGCTTCTCCTCTCTGCCACTTTCTGTTTTAACCTGGACCGCACCTTCAAGTTGGGCTCTGAGGCTGGGAATTGAGACAAAGAAAATAGATAAAAATTAAAAAATAGAGAGCCAGTTGCTCCTGTGTCTAAACTTAAAAAAAAAAAAGAAAGACTATCTTTTCTCCTGGTCCATTCTTCTCAAATTAAAAAACCCAACCACATAAATAAGGTGTTGACTCTGAATTCATCAAACAGACAAATATAACAATCATTTTATAAAGTAACATGAACATGAAACGGAAGCAAAAATTACTCTTCTACTCAACTTGTATCTAGCACAACCATAATTGTTAATGGGAGGTTTAATCACTAATTACGGGTAGGTCTGAATAAGATTTATTAGATGTCTCTGGCTGGCCTCCTCATTCTCTCAAGCCTGAAATTCAATGACCACTAAAACAGTAACTTAATGTGAGGTTGGAGACTCTGACCTGACCCTGGCAATAAGAAGACACCTCCACAGAGCATAATTTATGCCTGATTCTGACTCCTGCGGTATTTCCTTGTCAGTAGCTTCTATCCTAAAACTCTGGGAAAACACACTCGACACAATAACACAAGATGAACTAGTGAACTAGAGTCCCTGCGAGTAACCCTTTCCCTGCCCCCAGTACTCAGGCAGGAAAAAGGAAGCTGACCAAAGTGGAATTGAAAGTTTGGAGTTAGGGTATATGTTCGAAAACACAAGCTCACATTACCCATATGCACATTGCTATGTCTTTGGCTACATTATTACAAATAACAAATCTATATGGTTATCATTTATTATACTTTTAAATAATTATGTTGGAAGAATGGAACCATTGGGCCCATCTTTGTGCAGTTGAAGTTCATTATCTGTGATGATGGAGGTGGTGATACAATCACAAGGCTGTTTCTGATGATAACTAACATTTTATGTTAGCTTCTATATTGCAATATGACCCTAAGTGCTTTATCAATACTAACTTACTCATACATACTTAAAACATGCGCACGGCATATACTTTATCTATAACGTTGTAGTGCTGATGAGGAAGTTAAACTACAGAGGGTGGGTGACTTGCCAGGCCTGTGTCCAAGCACCCTGCCCTATGCTAACCTTGCTAGGCATTCCTCTTTCCTTACACTGGAACATCATAAAAATTAGAAGATGGCTTCCGTAAAGTGCTGGTGATCGCCCACAGGAGACACCATGTTCCTGAACTTTCTGATCGATGAAAACCTCTCCTCTAAAAGAATAGCAGCAGTAGAATTCAGAGCACACTCCCACACCCCTGTGAGACATGAAGGGTCCATACTTCTCTATTCTCTTGTTCTCTTCCCTGTAGCTGTTAACTTAAACTGGGAACGACTGCATTTCTCAGTTATAAAAATAAAGCAAGCACTTTCATTTTGTGTTGCGTATTTATATTGTGCTTGACAATATTGACATTATAGAAACGAGGGACTAGGAGTCCTCAGTATTCCTGTACCGGCACCCTTTCTGCTTTGCTTAGGACATACTCAGAAAAACAATGAGATTTCATTATTCACAATTTTTGGTGAAACCTAATGGATTAAACACTGGCTGTCAAGAGGGAACAAAAGCGCGGGCTTGTCACTTCATGAGGCTGTGGAGGGGCCAGTGGTCTCAGCATTGATGATCCTGCCCTCCCTTCCTCCATGGCTGACACTGATCCATGACTTTAGAGATAAGAACCAACCATCCCCTCTCCTTCAGCCCCGTGAATGAATGTCTTCTTGCTCTTGCCATTTCCTGGGTATCTCCACAACCCTTTACCCTGATCCCTTCCTTGTAAACAGCATTGCCAATCAACAATACTGCTGATGACAACAAGTCCCATCAACCCTTCTCCCTTTTATTCATCACTTCCTTGGCATCATCAGCTCAACTCTGATCAAGAGACTCCTTTTCTAAGTTGCAATTAATAGAGATTTGAATGAAATAATATCTCACATAAGATAAGACATTGATTCTAAACCAGACATCGTTGGTCATCAGCATGGAAGGTGATACCAGCACTAGTGTCAGAAGGTATGGGTATGTCCAGTCATCTCACAATGCACAGGGTTCTCTTCGTGATGAGGAACCATCTCGGCCCAACGGCCAGTAGTGTAAGAAGCTCCAAGCAGGGGCCATTAGTAAGTGGTGGCCGTCAGTAACCGCACCACTATGGGGTGAGTAAAGGCGATGGTAAGGACCGTGGGAGACGATCAGAGAGGGTGTGGAAAAGTTGGGCAAGAAAGGAGAGATGGCCAAAAGTTGACGAGTGTTACAGGGAGCCCTTGAAATTTTATTTTTGAAAATTCTTCCTTAAATATCCTAATGCTATCAATATTTCTAAGTTTTTTTATTATTGACAGTTATAACTGCACTTACAGAGAAGAGTATGATGATTTTGGACCTTTACATGTTACATATTCATCAATTCAGAAAGATTCAGGCATCCCTCAACTCAAGCACATGGTTTCATTGGGATGAGAATGTTCCAAATCCTCTCTGCTAGCAATTCTGAACTATACAATACAACACTATTAATTATAGTCACTCTTTATGTAGGAACACCCACGGATGTCCCCCCTACCGTGCTGTGGTTTTGGATCTGTGGCCTCATCCGCCTCTGTCCTCCTGAGCCTCTGGTTTCAGGATTCCACTGTCTGTTCTGCTAGGTCAGATCCCTCAGATTTCACACAAGGGTAATTGTACAAATACCACTGATATTTATAAAGAAAGCAAGCCTAGCCAACTTCTTCTTTTGGTTGGAGAAGATGTATAGAAGGACACAATTATCAAGTTTCAGCAGGAAATTTGACACCTTTGTAAATCTAGAAAATACCTGAGTTTCCAAAAACTAGAAATCATGGATACACTAGAAACTGCAACATAAACTTCTTTTTGAAAAAAAAAAAAAAACTGTAACACAATCTTAACGAGGAAAGGTCTATTCCGTGGTCCTAGCAAAAGCTTCTGTCTGGCTCTTGGTACTTTAAGTCACCAGGGAGAGTATCTCAGGGTTAAGCATGCGCATTTAGTGGCAGGCAGCTCCAGGCAAGTCTCCAGAGAAGTCTCCACACTCTGTCCAAAACTGGTAGAACAGGTAGACCGGAGGGTTGACGACCTGCTACTTCCCCTTAGAGGTGCTCTCACTTTCAACGCTCTGGGCTCCCTAAAGGCCAAGGATTTCCATGCTACTCACTTGCTAATCCTCCAAGGTCAGAGGAGATGACTAATTTTGGAGATCTACTTCCCTATGGACGTAGCTGAAGGCTACACAGCATGGCTAGCTGCACTAATCACCTTTCAACTTTGCTTCACAGCTGTCCTCTACATCTCAGTGAACAAACTGAAGACGTAGCGTGAATGTTGGCTAAGAGGAAACTTTGCACCACAAGCTATGTGGTTTTATTAGTATATTTGCTTATCCACAAAATAATACAAAAAGAAAAAAAGTATTTTTTCTTTTAAACCATCCTGTGAGTCATTCTTAATTTAAATAGTATAAATTAAGAATAATTTAACTTTAAAATACTAATAACACCTTTTAAATAATTAAATAAGCACAACAAGCAAACAATTTCCAAAACTTAAGTGCAATATTTTTATGTTTTCCTCTGAGAGAGTCCATCTGAAATATTAAACTATGAAGCCATATACTCTTATCATGATTTCTAGTTCCTTTTTTCTTCAGTTTTTCCGGACAGTGTTTCTCTGTGCAACAGTCCTGGTTTTCCTGAAACTAGCTCTGTAGACCACGCAGGCCTCCAAATCACTGAGATCCACCTGCCTCTGCCTGCAAGTGCTGGGATCAAAGGTGTGCGCCACTACCACCCGGCATTTTTTAAAAATAATTTGCTTTGTTTTGTTTGGAGACAGGGTGTCTACATAGCCCTGGCTGTTTTGGAACTCACTGTGTAGACCAGGTTGGTCTTGATCCCACTGAGAGACCTGGCTGCCTCTGCCCTCGGATTGTTGGGACTAACAGTGTGCACCCCACACCCAGCTTTCAAGATGCCTATTTTTAATCTCCCTTTCTGTTTCAATGTAAATAAAAAAGGAGGGAGAGTCGGCTGAAATCTCTAATTAGTCTTAAAATATAGTTAATTAAAATTGTTTTTGCTCTTATATAAGATCTTTATGGTATATGACATAATTCCAGTCTCCTACAGTTTAATCAGCTAAATATAAAACACAACATTCCATCTGGTAAATCAATTTAACAGGTATAATCGTGACCCCTAAGACACCGAGGAAAAACATTGAACTGATATCTCTTGTTTAAGAAGAGAGCCATTCAGAATCTCCGGCACTTTGCCTTTCTGAGGTAAAAACCAACAACGGGCAGGCGGCATGCTTCTCCACGGGATTTCCCACGAGAAACCCAACAGCAAAGTGGAAGTCTGTGCTATCACGTGCCAAGCACCCCATAATACTAATGTGGCTTTAACCGGAAAACATTATTTGGCAGCTAAACGTTTTAATTAGAGATGTGGTTTGAACAGATTTTTGCCAAGTTTATATACTGCAGGGGCTCAAATAACAACGTTTTTCTAATGGTTCTTCTATTTCAGGTGGTTTAAATGCGGTGCTTTTCTTAAGGGTAGAAAAAAAAACCTGAACGCCACTGAGATTTCTATTTGGCTGGCTTTAATTAGTTTCATCGTTTCTTCATGAGTAGTTAATATCAGACAACAAGAGTCATGTACCCCTCTCATCAAATGTTTATTGAGCATTTATTCTGTGCAAAGTTTGTCCTGGGATTTTAGAAGGAAAAATGAAGGTTGAGGAGGGTGATCAGTTCTTAATGGAAAAGAATGAGGTGAAGAAGATCTGTCATCTGGACAAGAGGAGAGCAAGGAGGTGGGGCCAATGCAAGCCCAGTGATCAGTGTGTGTGGCTTTGGGAGGAGCAGGGAAAGAATAAAATCACGAGGATTTAATGCCAAATATCTGCAGAGCACCTCAGAAGGATCAACCTAGGTCCACAACAGGCATATGGTTTAAAAATGTCACAATAGCTTAGTGACAAATACTGGCTAAGAAG